TTGACGACAACAGGACATATGTGAACACTTGAACGAACACTTTACTACTATCTGCAACAAACTTCTTTCTACTCTTCCTGCTGTTTCAACTAATCCGATTTCATTCATAAGCCGCTCTCTATCTGATTCTATTGATTTTTACCCCATCTCAACTTCTGAATTGATAACTTTAACTGCCAAGATGAAAAATAATAAATCGGTTGCTGCTGACGGATTAAATATGTTTTTATAAAAAATACAATTCACAATTTAACAATTCCCCTAATCCATATTTTCAATTTATCTTTGTCCACTGGTGTATTCCCTGATACTTTTAAAACTTCTAAAGTTATTCCTATATTTAAAAACGGTAAACCTGATGACATCAATAACTATAGACCCATTTCTCTTCTCTCTCCACTATCCAAACTTCTTGAAAAATTAGTTTATACTAGGTTGTTCTCCTTTTTTGAGGCCAACAAAATTTTTTGCAATAATCAATACGGTTTTAGGCCAAACCACTCCACAGAGCTTGCTACTCTTGATTTCATACATCACATTTTATCCAGGTTGAATGACAAAAAGCTTTCAGTTGGATTATTTTTAGACCTTTCCAAAGCATTTGATGTAATCAATCATAACATCTTACTAAACAAACTAAAACTTTATGGTGTCAGAAACGTAGCCAACGATTGGATTAAGAGTTATCTCTCTTCACGTAAACAATACGTCTCCGTTGAAAATCACCAATCTACTACGGCCTTCATCCTAAACGGCGTTCCTCAAGGCTCAATCTTAGGCCCTCTACTTTTTCTAATCTATATTAACGATATCCAAAATGTATCTACCGATATAAAATGTTTGCTTTATGCTGACGATACCAACCTCCTATTTACTCCTGATAACATCTCAAACTGTTCTGATTCAATTAACCAAGTGCTCTCTAAATATTCTGATTGGTTCTCTGCTAATAAACTCATAATAAACTACTCTAAGTGTTCTTATATCATCTTTGGCCCAAAAATCTTATCAAATTTGTCTCCAAACCTAAATCTTAATATCAACAATATCTCAATAAGTCGTGCATCTTCTTCTAAATTTTTAGGTATAACCATTTCTGAAAATCTTTCTTGGGAATCTCATCTACAATCTATCTCCTCTAAAATCAACAAACTCATAGGTCTTTTCTACAAAATCAAGCACAAATTAACCAAATCCGCCTTAAAAAAACTCTACTATGCTTTTATTTATCCTCATCTCACTTACTGCATAACCATTTGGGGTAACTCACCAAAAACCCATCTTCATTGTATGATATTGTCACAAAAAAGAGCTATACGCTAATCTTCAATTTGAACCCTTTCTCTCCCACTAGCTCTTTTTTTAGTAAACATAATATTTTGTCGATTAATTGTTTATACATTTATTTTACAGCTATTTTTGTATTCAAATTCTTAAATAATTTACTTCCCTCCTTTTTTTTCTAACTTTTTTACACTCAGTGAATCTGTTCAAACTCTCAAAACTAGACACACCACTATCTTTTACTCAGTAAAAACTCGCCTTAAACTCATCTCTACAAGTTTAAAAACAACTGGCCCTAAAATTTGGAAATTATTTGTGCCTCAGGCCATTCAAAACATAACAAACAAGCAACTCTTCAAAAAAAGGTTGCAATCTCAGCTTTACTTACTTCACCCCGACACCACCATCTAACGATTTATATACATTAATATATAGCTGTTGTTTAAATATGAATAGAAGTGTGGGTGTGTTGTGCGTGCGTGCGTGTGTGTGGTGCGTGTGTGTGGTGCGTGTGTGTGGTGCGAGTGCGTGGTGCGTGTGTGTTTTTGTCTGTCCGTTATTATTATGATTATTTGTCTGGTTAAGAAGTATTATCTGAATATATTCAATTGGAGTTAACATTTTTATAGGATTTCGATATAGTATTTGAATGTATTTGAACGCCGAAATTTAGTTTTTTTAATTTTCTAACCTTTGAACCTTTATGTTTATTAATGACTTAGTTAAGGGTGGCCTCTCCACAAGTTTATTTTAAACTTATTTGGCCCTCTATAATGAAAATAAAATAAAATAAAAAAAAAAATACATACATACATACATACATACAAACATACATACATACATCTGCTTGAGGTCTGATGATAGCAACTTGTTATGTGTGCCCCAAACCAACTTGAAAATGGCTGAGAGAAGTTTCTCAGTATGTGGACCAGCCGTTTGGAATAGTCTACCAAGTTATCTAAGACAGCCCAAACTGACAGAAAAATTGTTCAAGAAATTATTGAAATCATTTTGGTTTTCATTATAAAATTTGGTTTATCGTAGCAATTCAACTGTTTTTTTAGACAGTGCTTTTGTGAATCATTTTGTTTGTAATTAGCGCTATACAAATTTTCGAATAAAAAGAATAATAATGATACATTACAAATGGGACATGTGACCAGAAATAGGACATGTGACCAGAAAAACATCGTCAAAATCTATCGACTTGGCAAAAGAAGTGACATCATTACACGTCCGATTTTGATCAAATTTGATGATGCAAAGAACAAGGAATTGGTCCTAAGAAACAGTCACAGATTAAAATCCATTGGTGATGATTTGACGGGTATTGGTCTGAGCCACGATGTTACAAGTGAACAAAGGAATGAACTAAAACAGCTTGTCAGTTGTGGGAAGAAACAGGAATCTCAAGATAATGAGATTTTTTATACCGGGTGAGGGGGGACGTCGGGAGATGGAAAGTGGTACATTTACCTGCAAGAAAACAATAAGTTTGATTAATGGACGTGTTGGCACTAGGCATTGCTTGAAACAGTTGGTAAAGGTACAATATGTTAATTTTTGCAGAAACAACAAGAAATATAATACTAATAAGGAAACGGTTAGGATTGGTCTGTTGAATGTCAGGTCTATCAACAATAAGGTTGATGATATCTATGGAATGATTTATGATGGCCTCGACATACTGGTTCTGTGTGAAACATGGCACGAGACCAAAGGTAATATTTCCGTTAGATTAGCTATGCCACCTGGTTTCTCATTTGTGGATTTTGTCAGACCGCATGATCCTGGTCACGGGGGTTTGGTAATTTATTTTCGAAGTGATTTCAAGTATAAAAAATAAATCTACCTTCATTTTTCATGTTTGAAGCGCTGGCCATCAGATTGAAGATTTAAATTAATCAGTTCTGTTTAATTGCTCTCTACAGACCTGGCTCGGAACAGACGACTTCATTATTCTTTGAAGAGTTGATTTTTATTTTAGAGTTTATTACAATGTCGGAGGCACATGTCGTACTTATGGGTGATTTTAACATTCACGTTAAAAAGAAAGATAGTTCTTTCACTTTACAACTACATGAGATACTTGATATGTTCCAGTTGGTCAATTATGTTAATCAACAAACGCATGTGTTGGGAGGTACGTTAGACCTAGTAATTTGTTCACATGATTTTCCAATTCTTGATACTGAGATTGACCCGTGTTCGATATACTCAGATCACAGTTACGTAGGTGTGAGAGTGGCGTTGAATCAAGTCCGACCAAAATTGGTGAAAGCATGTATCAGACCGTGGAAAGATCTGAACGAATTTATAGGAACCGTCCGGAAAGTGGGCGGAAGAAAAGATGGGCACTCTTATCGGTGGCTAAAAACAGACTTTTTTCTGACAAGCATACGCATTATTGGAACAATATCGTAAATAGTAACAGAAATCAAAGAAATCTTTAGGATGTTGCCAATAAAATGTTAGGTAAAAATTCGGCAAACGATTCATTTAATGATGACAACGCTCTAAACGCTGATCAGATTTTACAATTTTTTAAAGATAAAATTGCTAGGATAATAGAAACAAAAAATGCACATTCTGAATTTCCGTTTCAAGTAGCTTCGATGCTGGATAAATGTACGATTTCATGCTTTCCGTTGGTTACTGAAACTCAGTTGAGGGAAACGGTACTTAAATCACCAACGAAAACGTGCAGTTTAGACATAATACCTACGCATATCTTTAAAAAATAGTTGAACTCATTTGTCTGTTTTCTGACGAGTTTTGTAAACCTTTGTTTACGCGTTGGTGAATTTCCTTCTAACTGTAAGCACGCGATAATTCAACCGATTTTGAAAATAGCTAACTCAGATGCAAATGAGGTGAGATATTACAGACCAATATCAAACCTTTTCTTTGTTTCAAAGGTTTTGAAGCATGTTGTTCTTAATTTCTTGATGAATTATCTAACGACGAACAATTTAATGCCACTCAACCAATCGGCCTACAGATGCTATTATTCAACTGAAACTGCATTGCTTCATGTATTGTCAAACATGTTTGTAGGCATGCATGATCGGAAGATGTCATTACTCTCCTTTCTCGACATATCTTCCGCTTTTGACTGCGTCAATCATAACAAGCTTCTGGTAAAATTGCAGAATAATTTTGGAGTTTCAGGAACGGTACTTACCTGGTTTGAATCGTATCTAACGGGTAGAACACTGCAGGTTTTGTTCAGAAAAGTCTTATCATCTGTCAAGAGGGTAACAACGGGTGTTTCTCAGGGATCAGTGCTAGGACCAGTTTTGTTTTTACTCTTTACATCGGATATAATTAAAATGAATGGACTTGTTGGTCATGCGTATGCAGATGACGTACACATAGTTGCTACAGGTCATCCAGAGACATTTCAGCCCGTGATTGATAAACTTGTTGGTTGTTTGATGGAGAGTGAACGTTGGATGTTGAGCAATTCCTTGAGGTTGAACCGGGGTAAAACTCAGATGCTTCCTGTCGGTACATGGCAGCAGTTTTCAAGACTTAATATAAACTCGGTTGAAGTTGGTGACGTTGAAGTATCATTTGCTTCTACAGCCTTAAATTTAGGGGTATGGTTGGATAGCAGGCTCTCAATGAAAAATCCAATAAAGTCGCTATCAATTGCAAGTATGATGCATTTCAGAAAATTGTACAAGATTCGACACTATTTGAACAGATCTGCCATGGAAACACTGGTACATGCTTTTATTACATCCAGATTAGATTATTGTAACAGTTTATATTTTAAAATACCTGACAAATTAATAGCTGTACTTTAGTCTATTCAAAATCGAGCTGCAAAACTTGTCACAAAAAATCTGAAGTTCGATCACGTGGCTCCAATCTTGAATGACCTACACTGGCTAAAAATTGGAAAAAAAATTTTCAAAATTGCTGTCTTAACGTTTCGGTCATTACATGGTTTAGCACCACAGTATTTGGCAGACATGTTTATCAGAAAAACATCTGTGTTCGCAGTTGAGATCAAATGACATGAATCTCCTGGTTGTGCCGACAACGAATTTACAGACCGGATCACGCAATATTGCTGTTGCTGGACCGCTGGTTTTGAACAGTCTTTCGGCATTTTTAAGAAGACCAGATCTATCATTGTTTTTGTTTAAAAAGGAGCTGAATTAACAATGTTTTGGTCTTCGTTTGATTAATATTTTGTTTGTTCATTTATTTTAGGGATTGCTTTTAAGATCTTTTTTTTAATTAGCGCTGTACAAATTGACTTGTAATAATAATAATAATAATAATAATAATAATAATACATACATACATACATACATACATACATACATACATACATACATAAAATTTAATTTAAATTTAATTAATCCATCATCCCATTCATAGTATATCATATATGTATGTATTCTCATCGAATCGTTCATCAATAAGAATCAATTGATACCAAATACTAACTTCAGTAACCATAGTCACTAGTTCAATTAATTCATCATCCCGGTCATAGTATATCATATACGTATGTATTTTCATTTAATCCTTCATTAATAAAAATCTACTGATACTAAACACTAGCTTCAGTTGCCATAGTCACTATATTAATTAATTCATCATCAAGTTCATAGACACATCCCATCATTTTGGTGCGTATCTCATTACTGTATGTATAGGTGTATGTATACATTCAGGTGTATACTTATACGTGTATATATTTAATTTAGATTCTAGTCAGTCCACAGTCAACAATTAGACAGTTCTAAAAATTTGATTCTGTAATAATTTACTCATAAAACACAACCAAAACATTGTCAAATTTTAACGTGCACTAATACACACATAACATTCAATCTAGGTAGTTTCAACAACCATTATTTCGGTATTTGTTCTAAACACTTTACCTAGCGCCCCAATGGCACCTTATTTAGACATGGAGGTAAAGTGAAGAGTTCTGAATGTGCCGGTTCATTCACAAAGCCTTCTTCTCTTTCATGCAAAAAATCATTGGGAAACAACTCTGTGAATGCTTTTTCAGAGTTTCGCGGGTCGATTTGGCGGACACCTTTATAGATAAATCTGCTAATCTCCGCTTGATGGACTATGTCCCAAAGCAACCAAAGGCCAAATTTGGTCAGGTTTTGTATAAAATCTAAATGATATTACAAAAAACCAAATGAACCTGTTGTGTGGTTCAAGCTGCTTTTTTTGCCAAGCATGGTTCTGAGCAAAAGTCCCCGGGGAAGTAGACGGCACAATCCAATAACAATGACCAACCAAAAAATTTGACAATTTTGGCAATCACGCGGTCAAAAAAATGGTTGACATCTAGAGCCTGTTATTGAAATAAAAAGGGCAAAATCATTGAAATCCATTCTTATCTTTTTCGTGAAATCAAAAATAGAAAAAGGCAATATTAGAAATACCATGCAACTTCTGGCTTTAACTGATTCAGTGGCACCTTTTTTTGATAAAACTATCAGGGCTTTAAACGAAAAACATCTCAAGGCTCTTCTGGATAGGCTACCAAACTCACCCAAATAACCTTCAAATGTGGTTGTGTCGCCACAACAAGTCCTGACATGTTTAAAATTTTTCTCAAGGGAAACCTCGGAAGGCAGAGATGGTCTCACCTCTGAGCATTTGAAGAATGTTACGTCTTCGATTGATTTTCAGGATCTTGTTAACGCCATTACGCATTTGTGAATTTGATTCTGAATGGGGATTCTCCCATCGAAATAGTTCCATATCTTTTGGGGGGAGGCTTGTGGCTCTGTTAAAAAAAGATGGTGGGATCAGACTAATTGCAGTGGGTTGCATTTGGAGACGTCTGACTGCCAAATGTGTTTTATCAGCTGTTAAAAGCAAAGTTGTCCCTCTTCTACAACCCCAACAAGTGGGGGTTGGTGTCAGCGGTGGGGCGGAAGGCGCTGTGCATGCCGTAAGACAATTTGTTGATAGTATAGAAGACAATATGATTGCTTGATAAAACTCAATTTTTCCAATGCATTTAACTCACTCAGGCATGATCATATGCTGAATTTTGTGAAATTTGTCACCCCAGACATTCTGAACTTTAGTCTTTCAGCCTACGCCACCCCTTCCATTTTGGCCTTTGGTAGCAGCAAAATTATGTTGGCGGAGTGCTTTTTTCTTTGACAATTAACTCGTTAATAAAACTTCTCAAAGCTAAATTTGTCGTGCCATACTTGGACGATATCTCCCTGGAGGGTAAAACTGATGTAGTGCTCGAAGATGTCAATTTTATTTCCAATAAAAAAACTTTTACAGGTCTAGTTCTGAACCACAAAAAATGCGAAATGTTTTCCAATAAAGCAGACCTAGTAAGCACAATGCATCCAATTAAAAAACTTGCCACGGGAGTTATGAAATTTTTGGGGTCAATTGTTTATCCAGGTGACGCCCAAAGCAAATTTTTTCTGGATAAACTTGCAAAGCTTGAATTCATTTTGCGTCGTTTGGAAATGATTTCCAAACACAAAGCACTAACCCAAGCTGCAAGCTACGTACCTGCCTCGTCTCATTTATTTTTTCAGAACATCACCGAGCCCAGAAAGATTAATCGTAGAAAAGTTTGACCGTTGTCTCCTCAGTGGTTTTGGAAAAATCTTCAATGTGGCCATCATTTTTATTTTTCATTCATTTCAAAATAATTTTCAATAATAAATATTTTAAAACATTAATTATAATTATAAGTATTTTGAAAATTTAAATTTGTTATTTATTTCAAAATAATTTTCAATAATAAATATTTTAAAAACAGCTTGCGTTATTTTAAAAATAAAATACTAATCTATTTTATAGATAAAATAAATCATGATCAATCAATCAAATTAATTTTTATAGTCAATGAATTCAGGAACTAATAAAAAAGTGTTTTGGCTTGCATTCATAAATTATAAATTTTTTTAAAGTGAATAACGAAAGAGATAAATTCTTTATTTACAAATAAATAACATTTTTAAAAAAGACGCAAAATTAAAAACTGCTCTTTAAATATCATTTAATATTTTAAAAGACAAGAAAAATTAAAAATTGCGCTTTTAAAAATTATTTATTGTATCACAAATTACAACAAGATAAGAGCAGGTTTTTAAAAAGAGATAAATGAAGCAAAATTTACCTAGATTTATTAACTCTTTGTTTACCATTTTTTGAATTACCCATTACCGATCCAAAATTTTGTGTGACTGTTAGGATGAAGATTTTTTAATATTCTAGTAAATGGGTTTTGACATTTCAAACTTTTGTTGAAAATACTTTTTTTGCCTTTATCTTTACTGATGTAAAGTAATTTCTAGACTGTTTACATTTTTCAGCATTAGCAGTCGATTCTGTTTGTTTGATAATTTAATTATTTCATAAGATACTCATGCTTTTCTATTTTTTGTTCCTGCGACTGCAAAGGTGCGTATGTCAAGAGTTATAATGAGTATATTATAGAATTTCAAGTATGCTGTATCTATATTATTCTCGTTATTTACTGATTGCCAATTTTTAAATAAAAGTTTTTTTTTATTAAAAAAGTGGATGTTTTATTAATTATCCTTCTTAAAATTAGGTCTTCATTGAAAGCAGTTTAAAAATTCTCTAAAAAAAGTCTAAAATTTATAATTGGGTGGGTGGTATATTGCAATAATTTTTAGCGCAACTTTATTATGGAAAATGGTCAGAAAAGTCTGAGACTGATTCCACTTTCACAAAGTTGGTATAAATTCGTAAATATGTTGTCGATTAATAAAGTGGTGTTAAAAGCTGCTTTTGCTGGTAAATTAATTAAAGGCGAAAACATAATGAAAATAATAAATTTAGAAAATTTTTAGGGTTATTTGAATCTTTCTCCAATAAATTAACATTAAAGTCACCTACTATAACAGTTTTATCTGCAGGGTTGAAGGCGTGTAATATCAAATTCATTTTATATAAAAAAAAACTCAAATTTATAATTTGGTGGGCGGTATATTGCAATAAATTTTAGCGCACCCTTAGATAAAGCATGCTCCGATTCAATGTCCACACAGAGAACGTCGACATTTTCATCATTAAATGAACTGTTATCATTTAGAGTGGGAAAATTGGAGTATGGATTCCAGAGGCTGCATTGCTTTGGTCAGCTGTGCAGCTATAAATCCTGGGAAATGCCTTCCTGACATAAGCTCTACTTATAAAGTCCAGCTGCTGAGTCGTCGCTCCTCGTGAGTAATGCTAACAGCAGAAGGAGCGAAAACGAGTTCTTGGCGAGCGCTTAAACCAGATAACCCGGGTTGAGGGCGCCAGTTATCAAACTGTCTAGGAAAAGATTAACTCTGATTTTAAAACCTGGAAAAAGACACTTCGATAACACTACTCGGGTGGATGGAGCTCAAAACTAGGGATAGCACATCGTCCAGGAGAAGGAAAACTCTGATCGCAAACTTGCGTTGAGACCACACGTCAGGCGGCATTCATCATATAGAATCAACTGGTAGGCCTCTGCATTTGCATTTGCAGTTTTTTCTAGTCGTCTTGGAGACTGTTTATGCTACTGGGTTCAGATGGCTGCAACAAAGTTTTGTGGACCGAGGGCTTTCGCAACTTCCTTCCACGTTAAAATTTTTCTGCGTCCATTTTACGCGCTAATACCGGTGACAGGAGACCTTTTAAAGACCTGCGGCGATGGTTACACAGGTGACGGATGTAGATTCAAGATTATAGTGTAAGCCTATAGTTTGTGTGCTGCACGCAGACGGTTTTGGAGTGATGGTCACTGAGACTTGAAAAAAAGAATGACAAATCTTTTCGGCAGCTTCCAGGGTGACTGAGCAGTCTTATTTAGGACTCACAATGCTCACCTCAAACGAGGAGGAGCCTAAAAAATGTGGCCTAAAAACTGCTCATTCCCAACTTTTTCTCAAATGAGCAACCGCGTTCATTGAGCATCTTTCTTAGCGGTCAAAAAATTAAAATTTATTCGTGAAACTATTCAATTTGCGACCTGAAACGTCCGAACGCTTTTTGTGCTAAACTGTTTCGTAACGACCTTTGCGGCGCACCGCTCTTATTGCCCTCGAACTTGGCAAATGTTAAATCGACATTGCTGCGCTTGTCACTGCGGGTTGTCACTATTGATGATGTTCCATTTGCAACTGATATTTGCGCTGTGGGTTGTAGCATTGACATCTACAGTGTTGGCACTGTTGTTGTTGTTGTTATTGTTGATGTTGTTGTTGATAATAATAATAATAACGTTTTTAAATATTGTAAAAATAATATTAATAATATGTAGTTAATTAAATAAATTAATTCGCGCTTCTCGGCTGAGCGTTGATATTTACCTTAACAACCATAGTATAAACAATCTTGCCGTTAAAATTTTAAAAATCACGTTTTATATTGTTTATAGTTATTAAATTTATTTTATTGGTTTTCTGTTTTAATTAAATAATTTATATAAATTAATAATTACTTGTTCCTTCTTATCAAATATCTTACATACCTTATATATAATGCACTGAAGATGAGTTATCTATAACTCGAAATAGCTATTTGCAAATTTATTTAATAAAAATTTTTTAAAAAACAATAAAATGTCTAATTTTTCTTAAATTAATAAATTAAAAAGAAATATAAAAAAGTTGAACATTGTTGAAAGTAGTGTTGAATTTTTGAAATATATATATATATATATATATATATATATATATATTTATTTATTTATTTAGAGAGAGAGAGAGATACATAAGCACATAATTTAAGAACATTGTATGTTAAAGGTTAGGCTAGGTATACATGACACATAATTACAACATCACTAATTGTGCGGTGAGCTGGAAAATTTTCTTTGTGCTTTAACACGGGTTATGCAAATATGCATAAATTATAAGCTGATCTTTGTGTACAGAATTTGGCATATCACACAACTTATTCACATATTTGAATTAAATAACTATTTGCTTGGTTTATTTTTTCATGTTCAACATGTAGATAACCGTAAATTTGAGTATTTATTCTAACGTATGTAAAATGGTAACTAAAATCCTGCCCCGGCTCCGGCCCCGGCCGGTTTTTGAATTTTAAATCCGGCCAAGTCCGGCCCCGGCCGGATTTGAAAAACCTGAATCCGGTGCATCCCTAATATATATATATATATATTATATGAGTATTTATATAGCGCCTTCAAAAGGGAGTTTCTCAAATTCTCAAAGCGCTTTTATAAAAAAGAAATACACAATCGGTAAAAAAAACAAGCAAAACCAAAAATTAATCAAATATAAAAATCAATGTTTTAAAAAATAGTTAACTGTCAGAAGTAGTTGCTGGATTCACATTGTGTTTATTGTTGTTTTTGTTGTTGTTGTTAAATGACCTCTCTCTAATCTTCACATATTCACGCTAAGTACCTTCGTTGTTGACCAATGTGGAAAATCTCTGATGGACGCATAGTCGAAAAGACGTTGAAATGTTTTCATTATTAAGCTCTGCATTTTCATCTTTTATCTTGAATAACGAGTAGCAGGATTACGTCTCAATTCATATTTCTTTTATACGTTTAAAACATTTCCCAACGTTGCTTATGTAAAAACTCTCACAAACGATAGGTTTATTTTCTTTGATTTTTGAATCACTAGCTGGATGAAAACCAATGACAACTTTGGGTGCATTTTCTTCATGATTAATTGATCATAACCATACTTCACCCGATTTTTCCGTTTTTGGACTTTTTTGAAACTGTCAGAATCACCATCCTTATTTTGTTCCTAAACTTTAATAAACCTGTCGGAATCGGGAATCTCCATCACTTTATATCAAAAAATTTGAAGTTACATTTTTAGATATTGAAGTGTAAGTAATATCTTCAATTTTGTTAATAATTATATCCTGTTTAGTTACTCAACATATTGTTAAAAGCATCAGTTTGTTTTTCTACGACTGTAGCCAGCTCGGCTGCATTCAAAACTTTAGTCTCCTTCAACTTCACTTTGCTTTTCAACTGCATTCATTAACTTGGACCACCAAAACCAGACATCGGTTCTACGTTTGCGATGTCTATGGTTTACTTGACATCGTGTTGTGGATTTTCAATCTCTAAATTTTTCATTATAAACTGAAGTTTTTGCTAATTTTCCTTCAATAAAACAAAAATTAATTTTTTCTGACAACGTTTTTAAAATTTTCGAAAGTTTTCGTTGCTGTATTATATTACAGTTCGTTTTATAGTTTATTGTGAATTTAACAAATTTTCATCATCGTCGTCATAGTAACTGATTTTAATTTTAAATTTCAACGGGTTTTTTATTCTAATTTAATTTAGTTTAATTTAAATAACAATTTCACTTTATTTTTAGCTAATTTCAATTTTTTCAGTTAAGTTTCTAGTTTTCTGTTTTATTAATTTTATTTTTTTCATCAGTTTTTACTTATATCTACTCGTTACTAATTATTGCTCACATCCTCAATCGAATGATCTAATACACACGCCAACAACTGCTTGATGTTCTACCCGACAAATTCGCCATCAAAAGACCGCTAAGAAAAACTCTTTTCCTCAAAAAAATTTGGATCCCAGATCATCACCAACATCAACACCTTTTCTCTTTTCTTCAATCGCTACAGCACTCTACAACATCTTTAACATCAACATCCCAGGACCATCTACCTTAATCGCTACAGCAATCTACAACAACTTCAACATCAACACCCTCAGTCCATCTACCTGGCACTAATTCATCGTCAACAATACCAGTAGTAAATTCATCAACCCGTGAAAGAAGCAACCACCCCAGTCGAAGCTCCTCACCTAATCATCCCAATCTCATCAACATCAAATTCACCCAGACTTACAACCCAGCGAAAATCACCCCATGTCATCATCCACCCACCATCTACATTTTGAATGTCACTAGCATTGTCAAGCCACATGCTACTCTCTAACACTGCGTTAGGGAGCGATTCAAAACTCATCATTGGAGGTGATTTTAATCAACTCGACCATCATCCCATCCTTCAAACAGGTCTACACCTTATATTCTGGGGTCCTACCCACCAAGGTCACAACCTTGACAGAATACATGGGATTAATGTAAACCTGGACATCACTCACACTTATAGGTCACACGTTTCAACACATCATGTACACGAATATTTATATGGCGCTAATTAAATAGTTTTTCAAAAGCAAACAATCAATCAATCAATCTTCGTTTTGCGTCCAGAGACCCAGTTTCCCGAGGTAGGACGTTGTTTTCTTTGCCATCAACTTTTTGCGCCAAATTAGACGATCAGTTGTATCCATTTCATTTAAATTTAGAGCTTTCATGTCTTGCTCGATTGTTTGCGACCAGGACTTCTTTGGACGGCCTTTGGGACGTGTGCCAGGTACTTCAACATCTGCAAGAGAAGTTATAGCACTGTTTCCACTTCGTTTGACATGACCAAACCACCGCAGACGGTGTTGCCGGCATTCGTCCTTTATATCATCTAAACCAGCACGACGCAGGATTTCGGTAGGTTTGATGTGGTCCTTCAGACTAATTCGTTGCATCCATCGGAGCATTTTCATGTCGGTTCGTTGAAGTTGTTGTTCCAGTTTAGTTGTCATTGGCTATGTTTCTGCACCATATAACAACACCGGACGTATCACAGATTTATAAAGTCTTGATTGTAGTGGTAGTGGGATGTCATGCCGTCGCATCAATATAGAGGCAAGGAGATGCCATTTATTCCAGACTGCACGTATGCGTGCTCGAACGGCAGCTTCCGCTGTTCCAAGTACAATCCAGAACATCCCCTAGATATTGAAACGATGTGACTTTCTCTATTTTAATGGCTTCAAAAACAGTGCTATTTTGAATTTGTTGTTGTGGATTGATGCAAGCAGGACAAACAAAATTGGACACTTTAGATAAAGTACCAACTAATTTTGAACAACGTTTGTGACACCACTGGTTACACTGCTGACACTTGATTGAATTGTTACCTACACCAGCTTTACAAACTGAACAGGGCCATCGTCCAGTAGCTGTGGATTGGATGGGTTCACCAGTGTTCATTGCTTTGGTTTTGCTGATGTTGACTTTAAATCCATGATCGGCGAGTCTGGTGTTCCAATCTCCAAACATCTGTGCTGCATTCTGCTCAAACGTGGCTGTTAAAACGATATCATCAGCATATACTAGATTCCAAATGTCACCAGTGCGTATCGGTTTTGTGATTTCTTCCATCACAGTTATAAATAATAGTGGACTGAGAATCGAGCCTTGGTGAACTCCAACGCCGATGTCAAATGCATCTGTGTTTCCAACCGTTGTGCTGACAAGAGTCTTAGTATTCGTATACATTTCCATCACAAGTCGAACAAGATATTCTGGAATGAGTTGTCGACGTAGACTCCACCTGATTGCTTTACGGGGAACTAGATCAAATGCTTTTTCAAGGTCTACAAAAATATGTGATAGTTGTTGATGCTTTGCGAGGTACTTCTCTTGCAGTTGCCGAAGGATGTGAATTGCATCAATTGTTGATTTCCCCGCTAGAAAACCAAATTGATAATTTCCGATTGTGATGCACGACGTTAATCTTCTCTCAATGATTTTTTCGACAATTTTCAGGGAGTGTTCTAACAGACGTATACCCCAATATGATGAACAGTTCAATGAATCACCTTTGCCTTTGTATAGCGGGACTGTCATGCTATAGTTCCATTCAGTCGGTATTGAGCAATTTCTCCAAATTTCACGGCAAAGTTGTAGTAACGTTTGGATACCTGCAGTACCAGATGCTTTGATAGTAACGTTTGGATACCTGCAGTACCAGATGCATTTTGTACACTGTCATTCCACCACCAAGTGCCACGTTCATGCTGACGTTTTGTACCAGTTTTCCCACAAACTGTAGTTGCAGCGTTCATTTGTGAGTCCAAAGGGCCCTGCTGCCTTTCCATCCTTCATAGCTTTTAGAGCTTCTGTAAACTCCTCTATAGTGATGTCTGGAATCGGACCTTCGATGGATGGAGCGTCAAAGTTAACATTGATGAGATTTGTTTCGTTTAACAGACGGTTGAAGTATTCTCTCCACTGTAGCTTGATCTCATCTTGTTCAAGAACCATATCAATTTTGTCGTTTTTGATACATGAGGCACCAACTATGTCTTTTTTCGTACGCTTTGCTTGTTTTGCTATACGATACAGAGATTTCATTGGTTCACCTTTGCTTTTAATGAGCCACTCTCTGCACTGATCTGTCCGAGCTAGTGCAACTTTACGTCTTGCATAGTTGTTCTTCTCACGGAAAATATTATGGTCATCAACAGACTTTGATTTTTGCCATTGCTTGTATGCAACTTTCTTTTCAGCTATTGCATTTTGTACACTGTCATTCCACCACCAAGTGTCACGTTCATGCTGACGTTTTGTACCAGTTTTCCCACAAACTGTAGTTGCAGCGTTCATTAAAACGGTTTTGTATGTACTCCAATCTGTACTGGCTTGCGATTGGTGGTCTAACTGTGTGGCGACAATCTGTTGAAATTTTTCTCGATGAATATTGCTTTTCAGCTTCCACGTTTTGATTCTCCGAGGCATTTGTTTAGACTTATGTTTTGACTGTTCGACAACCAGGTCTGCCACAAGGAGTCTATGTTGGGCGACACATGATTCGCCAGGTATAACTTTGACGTTTTTGAATAGCCTTTGATGTTGTTGCTTGACAGCGAAGAAATCAATTTGCGTGGCTGATGGTCCACTTTTGTATGTTATGAGATGTTCTGACCTCTTTCTAAAATATGTGTTCAGTAAACAAAACCCGTAACTTTCAGCAAACTCAAGGATGCGGTTGCCATCTTCATTCCGTTTTTCATAGCCAAAACCGCCATGTACGTTGTCAAAACCATCTGTTTTCTCTCTAACGTGGCCATTCAGATCGCCTCCAATCAGGATTGTTTCAGATTTTGGTATTGTTGAGATGGTGTCAGAGAATGCAGTCCAGAAGTCATTTTTCATCTCTTCTGATTCGCCTGTCTGTGGTGCGTATGCAGAAAAAATAATCATTGTTTGCTTTTCTATGCGAAGCTTGATCCACATGAGACGTGAACTAATCCTTTTAATATCCATTACTTCTTGGGCTAGCGGTTCTCTGACAAAAATTCCAACACCATTTTTGGCCGTCTTTTGACCATTCCAGAATAGTTTATATTTTTCTTTGTCTGAGTTGACATGACAGACACCATTCGATTTCCATCGGGTTTCCTGAAGGCAGCAGATGTCAATCCTTCTACGCTCGAGCATTTCTGCGATTTTCATGCTGTGGCCAGTCAGTGATCCAACATTGAACGTTCCAAGTCTAACTACCATAGAGGGGCCATTCTGAATTTTTCTGCAACATCCCTCCGCTATTGCATACTTCCCAGGGATTTTTGGCACCCCTTGACCACTTAAGGCCTGCTGGGGACTAGGGGCCGTTGTTTTTCTTTGTGATGGCATAAGAATAATTTGGGGAAAAGTTTTTACATCCGGACACCCATCCTAACGACAACCACCAGTTATAAGCGGTGGGCATAGTCTTTCGCTCAAAAGCACGCAAGGCAGCGTGGATGCAGTTTTATGTCATACTCAGGACCAAGTTGATACAGAAAATAACTTTTCTGAACATAAAGAAATATATTTGGTGGTTTCTTCTTTACAAAATGAAGAACACTCTGAAATGGAGCCAACGTCTTTTGTCTTAACTGCTTCAATAAACTGATAGCAACCAATATAGTCTGTTGATAAAAGATTCATCATTCTTATTTGATTAATTGAATAATCAAAAAGGCTACTTGAACAATCAGACAAACGGAAGTGCGTGAAATTTATAGAAAAGAAGCACGAAAAGAAGACGGAAAGGCAAGCAGATAAAAATAAGGGGTAAAGGACTTCTTATATCTGCAGTAGGTTCATTTGATATCCAAACGACTTTTTATAAGCTTAAATTTATTTTTGCCATGTGAAAGAATTCATCTCATCAAACAAATAAATCAAACATTAAATAAACATTAGATTAGTAAAAAATAAACATCAATGATTGACACTACAGCGAAAATAAATATGTTTTCGACATCTTCTTAAATTTCTCAACACCCAGAGCAGGGTCTCGCAAGTCTTTGGGAAGACCGTTCCAGACTCTAGGACCAAACATGGCAAAGCTTCTAGATCATCTTGGAGTTGTTGCTGCTCTTCCACCTCCGCCAACTAACTCAATACCGAGAAATAACACCACGAACGAGAAAAGTCATCTCATTTCGCCGTCGTCATCCTTCACAGAGTAGTGCTTGCCTTCAACATCTCAACAACATCGACTTCAATAATATCTTCGAATTCAACATCATCACCACCAACAATACTCTACCAATAATTTTTAATAATAATACTATTAATTTTGATAATATTATAAATCACAATAATACTTGTAATAATAATAATAAAGATAATAATATTAACAATAGTGCCAATGATAATGATAATAATAATAACAATATTAACGATAATACGTTCATCACTAACTCTATTGACAATTTTATGCAACACTGTTTTGATAAATTTTATAAAATCATCAACTCAATCATCAACTCATTTTATAAAATCATTAACTCAACTTACAACACGTACTACCCAACATCAAACATCACGATCAGATCATCAGACCCTCCATTCATCAGCCCATTCATCAAATATCTACTTTGTCAAAAAAATAAATTCATGAGATCAGGATCCATCCTCAAAGCCAAATACATAAATAAACTAATCATCAACTTCAACTTTTACTAAGAGTAAGCGTGGAAGCAAAGCCATGTGGGGCCAAGTCAACAAGATTAGATACTCTGGCATATCATTCAACATGTCAATCTCACAGCAAATTGATGCCAACACACTCAACACCCACTTTGCTTCTATGTCAACCGACCCGTCCTACAAAACTCAACTCCACCAACAAAAGCAACAACAATCAATAGTCGTCAACATCAACAATTTACCCCATACTTTGTCCTGCACATGCTATCAAAGGCCTGTCCAACTGGTACAGGTTCAGACAGTCTACCAGCATGGTTTCTACAAATCATCGCTCCATTCATCTCCAGAATTTTAAGTTCACTCTACAATCACTGCTTAATGCATTCATTCATCTCATCACAATAGAAATCCAGCACAATTCATCCAATTCTTAAAACAAAATACCCGTCATCCCCGATAGATTATCGCCCAATATCTATCATCACCATACTTTCACGTATTCTAAAAAAATTCATCGTTAGGTCATTCATCTATCCATGTTTCAACCATTCATCCATCAAACCACTATTACAAGATCAGTTTGCATTTCGCTCTACAGGCTCATCTACATCTGCCATCATTTCTCTTACTTCCTCAATAACATCTCACTTTAAAAATATTAATTAACTTCATTTTATTGCTCTCGACTTTTCTAAAGTTTTTGACATTTTCAATCACTTATCACTTTCAAATAAGTTAGCCTCTCTTCCTCTACCTGACAACATTTACAATATTATAATAAATTTTCTTTCTAATAAGAGTCATTCTACTTTTTTTTAGCTCTACTCTTTCATCTACTCTACCTATTAACTCTAGCGTAGTTCAATTTTCTGTCCTTGGACCATCTACATTTATCATCAATGTTTCTACTCTCAAAATTTCATAGCTCTAATCACATCACCAAATACTCTGATGACACCTACCTTATCTAACACAAACACCATCCAATCAGAAATCGACTCATTAACTACATGGTCAAAACAATGCAGTCTGTAACTTAACCTCAATAAATCGTTCGAACTCATCATTCACAATAGCCTTAGGAAAATAACATTACCTCCAGAACATCCATCAATCACTCGCATAAGTCAATTAAAAATATTAAGCATCACATTCACCTCCACACTTAATATAGCATCTCATATCAATCACATCATCACAAAAGACTTTCAAACATTTCACGCACTCAAAACACTCCGCTCACATGGTCTCAAAGAGATCAAATTATTCAACATCACTGAATCACTCATAATTTCACGCATCAAATAAGCAGCTCCCTCCTGGTCTGGTTTTGCTACACACAACAACTTTAGCTACTACAATCTCTCATCAAAAAACTAATCCGCTTCAGCTATCTACTTGCATCATATCCTACCGTCACTCAGATATTCAACACACTCGATTCAAAACTGTTTAAAAAAGTAAAAAATAACAACCACGTCATCCATCCTCTACTACAACCAATTAAAACTACAACACACAACATTCGTCAGCGCAAACATAACTATCAAGTCGCCACCCAATCTACATATTAGGAAAAGACTTTCATCACATGACACCTCAAACATATTAACACTCAATGAAACTTTATCATTCACACAACCAGTTTTTATTTATCGATCACCTCGCTAACTGACTGTCATCATCTAGTCTATTAATTTGCGGTTTTTTGCCATTACTTCATTTTATTGTCAATTTCTTTTCGTTTATTTATTTTATTATTATTATTTATTTTATTTTTTATGTTTAAAAATTTTTCTTTCTCCTTTTTTTGTTTATTTAGTTACTTATTTGTTCAATTTTGTACTACTGCCTTGCATGCTGTAACAGTTTCTGCGTCTGTCAGATCCTGATTTTTAAAGATCAATAAAAAAATCTATAGCCGACTGACATTTCACTAACTTGGTATAATCATCGGCAACAAATGAAAAAAATTCTCTTTCGCTATCAATATCCGAAATATTTTCAGTAGTTTATCAAAAGCGAATCCGCGTCCCTTAACGACAACAATGTAAACTGAAATTTCGAAAGCTTTTTAAGTTTTTAGCCGTAAAAAGCAAAATCTCAAAACCGCCCCTTGCATCATTATCATCAAAATACTTTATAACAATTTTCAAAAACCACACTGGCGAGCTAAATCTTTTCAATTATAAAACATTAGAAATAAAAATTCATTAAAACAATTTCGTCCGCCATGTTGAAGACCAACAATATATATGCTGGTAGAAGACCAAATTCTTGACAATAAGTAATAAATTCAACCAATCTATTAGTGTTTATCAGTTTATATTTGAATATTTCAATTTGTCTCAGTAAATTTTTATTAACAAAATTTAGTCTGTTCAAAATTGAAACTTTATTTCTATTAACAAACATTTTATTAAAATTGTTGCAGATAGTCTATTTCGACGCTAAACCGCCATCATCAGTGCATTATTTATTGATTTAGTCATATTATAATTTTAATATTATTAAAAATATATACAAATAAACTCAAAAAAGGAACATGAAATTTTAATGAAAAATTTTAACAACGAAAACTTAAAAAGTTTACATTACAATAACAACCATTATAATTTACGACTTGCCGAATCAACACTACAATGTCCCTCAACATACCAATTCGAACACCTAAGATGGTATAGGAATACCGGAAAAAGCTTAAAATAAATGAAAATTTTGGTTTTGTACTTAAGAAACTTGAGAATGATTTACAATCAACCGTTGGAAAAATCAAAGTATACTTTTAAGCAAAAATAATTCTTTTACAAACTATTGCAAAACTTTGGGATAATGTTTTTGTTAAAAAAATCAAATAAAATAATATTGCTCACTCAACTTTTGTGTCCTATTTTATTTAACCAAGCGTTTTGAAAGTAAGATTAAAATTTATATACGTAATGCACATTTTGTCCACACACAACATGTCATTTCAAATTTTATATAGCACCAGTTCCGTAACGTTCAATGGCGCTATCCAAACGACGTGCAAATCACCATATGTAACTTTAAACTAGAGATGCACCGGATTTAGGTTTTCAAATCCAGCCGGGGCCGGACTTGGCTGGATTTAAAATTCAAAAACCATTTTAGTTATTTAGATTTTAGTTACCATTTTACATACGTTAGAAAAAATACTCACATTTACGGTTATCTACATCAAAAAATAACACCAAGCAAATAGATAATTAATTCAAATATATGAATAAGCCTGTGTGATACGCCAAATCCTGTACACAAAGATCAGTTTATAAGTTATGCATAACCCATGTTATAGCATAAAAAAAATTGTCCAGCTCATCTCACAATTAGTGATGTTGTTATTATGTGTCATGTATGCTTAGCCTAACCTTTAACATACCATGTTCTTAAATTATGCGCTTATGTATCTCTCTCTTTCTCTCTCTCTCTCTCTCTCTCTATATATATATATATATATATATATATATATATACATATATACATACATACATATGTATATATTATATATGTTGGTAATAGACCATAATTTTTACAATATTTTATAAATTCTACCGAATGTTTGGCGTTAATATGTTTGTAGTTCGTTTTTTCGATTTTTCTTACTAAAGTTTTTTGGTGAACGTTTAGTTTATTATAATTCAAAATAAACTTATTTTTTGAAATGAACTTTGACGTTGAAAAAATTAACTTTGTTGTAAAATTGAACTTTGATGCGAATTAGGTGTCAGGTTTCTTTATTGGCTGGTCATCTTCTTTGGTCTCCTTTTCTTCATCGATAGCATCATATTCTTCATCACTATTTACGATGCTATTTACGAACAGTACCCCTAACAGTACCGTTAGGGGTACTGTTCGCTAATTTTTATATGTGTACGATTGAAAATAAAAAAACACTTAAAAAGTTTGGAAAACCAGTTATTCTGTTATAACCGCCGAAAAAATCGAATTGCGCTATATGATTAATTTCAATTTATGATTACTATCATGATTATTTGTTTTCTTCGTTATTTTTGTTTTATTTGTAATCTTTGGATTGTAAGAATTTCTTGTATATAAGAAATTTGGAGAAAGTTGAAGTCGTGATTTATGTATTTACTTGGATTAGTGAACAAATTATTGTTTCTATTACTGTTAGCAGTCTAATAAACGTTTAAACAAGTTTGAGTTCGAAGAAGTTGTGTTCATCTAGTAGAAATCTTGAACCTACGGAACATCGATAACTTGACGACAGTGCAAGTTACAACACTGGTGTCAGTAGAGGCGATCGTCTGAAGTTTATAAGAAGTAAAATTTTTGGTAGATTGAAAAAAATAATTATAAAGAATACCAGCATTAGAAGAACTCAATACTAATTATCCGAGAAAGGAACCACCAAAACGAAACGTCTGTGTGTATGAATGAAAAGTTCAACATATGATAGCCAGTTTCGTCAGTACAACCGCTATTTGCACTAGTTATATCAGTTACACCAACCACAACATTTAATTGTAATGGTGGAAAGTTACTGAACAAGTCGGTTATGTTAGCATCGCTTTTAATTTCATTTCGCGTAGTGGTAGCCATAACCTTATCATTTTTAATCATAAAATTATTTATTTCTTTAGTAGAATCTAAAACTTCTCTATTCAACGTATTCAAGAGCAAGGAGTTTTCTGTAAATAAGTTTTTAATCATAGTATCGCTACTATTGTTATCTAATAAAGTTACTTTTTAAAGTCGTCAAACTTACGTTATAGCGAACTAATTTTTTTTGCATAATTCGTTAAGAATGTTAAAATTGCATAGTTTTGAACAATTAATACATCGCCAAAAAAATTGTCATTTAATACGAGTTCTTTGTAACATGTTTTGGAAATATTTGCACATTTAATAAGATTGAAGGCGCCACAGAGTTTACAAGATACGATTTTCTTAGACGGAGCTTCTAAACAAACAATACACTTTTCCTCACCTGTCATTGTGAAAAGAAAAAGTGTAGCACAAGTTAATAACGAGAGGGAGGGCTAAATTAGATTTTCAACCAATAAGCATCTGACAACATGGGACAGGGGCTAAACTAAAAAAAATCCATTTCTCTTGAATATTGAAACAAAATTACAAATTTCTTATAAAAAACAACTCAGTGAAAAAAAATTTAAAAACAACAACTTCCTTTGCTTAGAGCAACAGAAATATCCAAAAAAAACGAAACTTTTGAAAAAACCAACCACAAAAACTGAAATAATATTATAGAGCTGAGAAAATGTGTCCAGCGAATATATGGTTGTGTTTATAGCTGGTTGTTTCATTTTTGTTCAAATACTTACAAGTTGAAGACTTTATTTTATTTTTACATGATTTACTTTATCTTACTTCCACTTATTGTAACTAATATTTTTTATAATCATAATTGATATTTTCCACATTTCATACCTTGCATGCTTTTACAATCTTTGCGTTTGACAGAGTTTAAATTTATAGAATAGATAAAAAATGCAGATATAACATACAATCATCACATTTTGCTGAAAAAGTTAGTTTGAAGATAAAAAATAAAAAAGAAAAAGTGGATGAAAAAAATAAAAGCGGTAAGCTACAACACATGCCAAAGTAAGAAGACATTATATAACAAATTGCCCACCATATTCCTACTAATTAAATCAAATCAAAAATGTGCTAAATCTGGAAATTGGTTCAAAAATAATATAAATTGATTTTAAAACTTTAAAAAACTTTTTCAGTTTCATTATTTGATGTTATTTGTTGTAAAAAATTCAATTTGTATTAGTAAGCAAAAATTAATTCATCTGTAAAAACATTATCTTAATATCAATATCCCGTTTATAACATATTTGCAATTGTATATATACCGGCTGCAAACATTTGGCAAGCAAAACTTGATGTAAACAGTGAAGGCTTACAAAAATAGAGTTGAAGAATAGTACAAATGTATTCCAACCTTCAAGTAACTAAACATGAATGCAAGCATAGATACACGCTTGAGGATATAGATGAGTATAAAACAAATAAATAGCAACCGATGGAAAAGTGTTTTACTGCATTGTTCATAATCGTACACAGTGCTCTTCATTTTGCAAAAACAGGCATATTACATGATATGCTTTAAGCACTTATATATATATATATATATATATATATATATATATATATATATATATTATATATACATATATATATACACACATATATATATACGTGTGTGTGTGTTTGTGTCTGTGTGTGTATAATTATATTTAAGGCATGATATGATGGAGCATTTTTCAATATATAGTGTATAAAAATAACATCTCAAAACTTTAGTATGACAAAATCTCAGAAAATGTTGATGCAAATATACGTTATAATCATAATGTAATGAATTGATAAGAGCATTTGTTTTGTTAAAATACTTCACCTGAACACTTGAAAGTTTAAAATTTTGTTTATTTCAACGCATTTATTGCAACATTATAAGGTAAAACTCTATTGCAATTGCGTTTAAAGTTTAATTTTAGTCGAAAAATAAAAATATTTTTTATTTGTTATCTATTAAAATAAAATATTCTGTAAGTTTAGTCAAAACTTGTTCAAATGCCGATATCTTTCAGCGTCTGTAAAAAATGGATCCTACTCAGGCATCGACCACAAATACTGAAAATTTATCCAACACTGGAGTTATTATCGCCAACAATGATTACTTAGATTGTGACTCAACACAGGTTGATAATAATAATAAGAATGATGATGGTGGAAACAAAGTTAAACGACAAGGTGCTCTTCGCCATAAAAATATATTCAACGTTAAAAACCATTTGTTTTTGCCAAGATTTTTTATACAACCAACCTTTTGCAGTCACTGTAAAGATTTCATCTGGTTTGTTAATTTAATTTTTTCATTTTTAAGATGCCGGTAGGCAAAGCGACATTCTAAATTCTTTAAAATGATGTTTTCAGGGGTCTTGGAAAACAAGGGTACCAATGTGAAGGTAAAAATGAATATATCATATTTCATAATACAATGTTGAATTGAAATTTGGGTATAACGTTTTAAAGTGAATAATATAATTATTTTTTAGGCATTTTTCCAGAATATTTGTTAATCAAATAGTCAAGCATTTAACGAATAGTTAAACATTTTAGTTATTTTATACAATATTATAAAATATATAATTATATATTTATTTTATTTTATTATTTATAACAATTATAGTAAAAATATTTCTTTGATCGGTCAATAATCTAGCGTCATGATGCCATCTAATTTTTGCCTGATATAAATAAATGTATTTTGACTTCAATCATATTATTTAAATTACATTATAACATTTTTCAAAAATTAAAACTTTAATGTCATTTTAGCTGTTATACAAATATTTTTCAATTTAAATTCTTAAGCGACCAAACAACAAATCAAAAATTTGGCTTGTTGTTTGGTTGATTGGTCGCTTAAGAGTTGTTGTGTGATATAACTGAAATAAAGTTTTGGTTAAATGTTTTTTTGTTTCACGCCTTTGCGTATGCATAGTTAATCTTCATGTCAATGTAGAAATAGTATGTCCGATATATTCTGAAATTCAGAGCCCACATTTGCAGATAGGACATTTAAAAAAATATATAAGATATATAAGGTGACTACTTTTCATTATTGACTTTTGTTTCTTTTTAGTTATTTTTAAGAACAGGGGATAAAAACTTCATTGCTAGCATAGTAAATTCTGAGTTGAAATTTGTCATCTAATTTGGTTATTTTGACATTCTTCATGAATATCTTTTTCAATATTGTTTTGTCTGTTTTATATCACGTAGACATAAACTTATTATAATATATTGTTATATACAACATGTATAGCTTAACTGAATACTACTTATTTTCCTGGAGCCAGTGTGAGAAAACTTCGGTTTAAAGATTTTTACATTCTTCTTCCATAGTTTCATAATTGTTAATTGTATCTTGAAATCTAAAATTCTAAAACCATAAAACAAAGAAAACTTCTCAATTTCACTTATATATATATATGATATCTATTCACATATATATATATATATATATATATATATATATATATATTAGGGATGCACCGAAGTTCGGCCCCGGCTCCGGCCAATATCCGGCTTTTTTTTCAAATCCGGCCCGGCCGGATTTGGTGGCCGGATTTAGGGCCGGATTTAAGCGTCTATCGACATTTAAAAATGTTATAAATAGAAACAAAATTTCATTGAATTCAATTAATTTTATGTCAATAAGTTAAAAGCTAAGCATACACGACACATAATAACAACATCACAAATTGTGAAATGAGCTGGACAATTTTCTTTATGCTATAACATGGGTTAGGCATAAATTATAAGCTGATCATTGTGTAAAAGAACTTGTGCACGTGTTTATACTATATAGTTGTATATGACGGATCATAAAGCTACATAATATATATGTAGGCATACATGACACATAATTACAACATCACTAATTATGAGGTGAGCTGGACAAGTTTCTTTATGCTATAACATGGGTTATGCATAAATTAAGCTGATCTTTGTGTACAGAATCTGGCGTATCACATAGCTTATTCATATATTTGAATTAATTAACTATTTGCTTGGTGTTATTTTTTGATGTTCAACATGTAGATAACCGTAAATGTGAGTATTTTTTCTAACGTATGTAAAATGGTAACTAAAATCCGGCCCCGGCTCCGGCCCCGGCCGGTTTTTGAATTTTAAATCCGGCCAAGTCCGACCCCGGCCGGATTTGAAAAACCTGAATCCGGTGCATCCCTAATATATATATATATATATATGTATGTATATATTATTTTATTATTATTATTATTAAGGCAGATTTATATAGCTCTCTTTCATCTATTCTCAAAGGCGCTGAAACAAACAACCAAAGCGCTCATTGTGCAAACAGAAACGTTTTTAGTTCCCTCCTGAAAGATAAAATTGAATGCCCTGAAGCACGCAGCTCCAAAGGCAGGCTATTCCATACAGATGGCCCAACAATTTAAAAATTTCTTGAACCTGTAACAAGATTTGTTGAGGCCACAAAAAGTAAGTTACGATCATTAGAATGTAACTTTTAGGAATGCCCTTGAATAAGACATGCAGTGCACCTATCAATCAGATAACCAGGTGCAATACCATTCAAGCATTTGAACATAAACATTGCAAGTAATACGTTTAACATTTAAAAGTAATACGTTTTTTAACGGGCAGCCAGTGTAAGTCTTTCAAAATGGGGATGACATGATCAGACCTAAAACGTCCAGAAACAAGTTTCGCAACTCTATTCTGAATGGACTGCAACATCTGAATAACTGTTTGTGACTGCATAGAATAGGCCATTACAATAATCCACTTTAGAACGTATAAAAGCGTGGACCAGACAACTCAGTGTATGAACATCAAGTAAATGCTTTACGGATTTCAACAACCTTAGTTGATTTGAACAGTCTCTAGCAAGACGCTTAATATGTGGCTTCATAGACATATTTGTGTCAAATATCATACTCAGATTACTAGCACTCATACAAAAATCAATATGTATTCCTTCAAAAAATAAACCTTTAATATCAATTCTAGACAGCTGCTGCCATGTACCAATGGCAAAAATTTGTGTTTTACTATTATTCAATTTCAAGCGATTAGATGACATCCATTTACTAACATCTGACAAGCAAACAACAAGGTTATCTAGCAACTCAGCAAAACCAGAATGAGAAGCCTGACATTTAAAACCATGCCTATTAACAACTTCAAAAAGATCAGACACATACAACAAGAACAGCAACGGACCAACACAGATCCCTGAGGAACATCAAGCAACAATCTTTCAACATCAGATACTTCACTACTAAACAAAAATTGCTGAGTACGATCACACAGTAAGATTTCAACCAAGAAAGGACGATACCCGAAAAACCAAATAAATGCAGTAATTTATCAATTCAAATCACATGATCGACACAACCAAAAGCCGCATTCATATCAAGCAAAACAAGAAGCGAAATTTTTTGCTTATCAATTGCTATTAACAATTTAAAAGCTAAATTGGTAAGTGCAGTTTCAGTCGAATGGAATCGCCGATAACCAGATTGGCTAGACGGTAGAAGACCTTTAACAGACAAATAGCAACTGCTTGTTGACAATTTTCTCAATAATTTTAGCCAAAAACGGAAGGTTAGAGACTGGGCGATAGTTAGCCAATATGTTTTTATCAAGGCTAGGTTTTTTCAGAGTAGGGATGACCACAGCATGTTTCAGTAAGGAGGGAAACTGGCCAGAGCTAAGGGATAGATTGACAATATGCAATAAAAATGGAAGAAATAAGTCAACATATTTCTTAAAAACATGAGGTAGAACCAAATCAAGCGAAGAACAGCTAGACGGGTACAACTTTACAAATATCAGCACCCATACATTCCTCAAATGCCAACAATGCACAGGTTCCACCGACATCCAATGGAGCATTAACAAATACAATCCCCAGATTGCACTGACTCCCTTATGGAAGTAATTTTGCTGTAAAAAAATTCAGACAAATTATAAACTAAAACATCAACGCCAGACACCGCAGAATTCACAACAGGCTTTCTACAAAGAATTTTGTTACCAGTGGACCATAGTGGACCATGGCTGATTCAAATGCAAACGAACCTGATTAGACCAATAGTCATTCTTTTTTTTAGCAAATAACTTTGATTTCTCAGTAAGCACCAGTACCAATAAATGTTCATCAGACTGACCCATAAGTGATCTTTCAATTCACCAACATTTAACTTTCAATGATCTACAATCATCATCAAACCATGGGGCCACAGAAACAAAACGAGAATGAAGAGGCCTAAGAGGAGCTGCTTGATCAGCAATTTTAAGAAACTCATCAGTGAATATTTGCAATGATTGATCTACATTCAAACTTTCCGATAAGTAAAGAAATGATGAATTAACGATAAGCTCAGAAAATTTGACCCCGTCAATGCGGTGCCATGAGCGAACCATTTTATTGACAAAAAAATGCTGTTTACTACAAACAGGAAATAACAGGGAATTGTCTGCTGGATCAATATCACATGAAAATAGCTTTAAACAGTCAGAAGATACCACCAAATCTAATATTCCGCCTAATTTATGGGTGGGTGAATTAATTCTATTGTCTAAATTAAATGAAAAAAAAATGTCAAAAAGCTTGACGGTATTTAGATCATCATATTTCTCAACATGTATGTTGAAATCACCGACAATAATGATATTGTCAGCCTAAAGAAAAATGTCATGATAATTCATCAAAAAATAACGTTGAAATAGCCCTAGAGCCAGGACTGTATATCGCCATAAGAATGATTGATGTATTCCCAAAGACAAATTTGATAGAAACAACCTCAATTGTATGAAAAACAGCTAACTCAAATTTTTGGCTCTAAAAGAACTTAAAAAAAATAATACCACCCTGAGTGTGATCATTTAATCTCAAAAAATCAATATAGGAATAATTGGGTGGCAAAGCAAGCCTAATGGATGAGTCATCAGACGCGCGATGCCACGTCTCAGAACCAAAATATCCAATCCATCAATAATAATTTCATTAACATATGTATGCTTATTTATAATGGAGCATATATTCAGAAGACCAAAAAACAATTTGTCATGAAATGAAAAATCTAACCAACACTCGTTTTTGGAAACCGAACGATCCGCCAATTGCCGGGATTGCCCCTCACCCTGTGTAAAAAATTATCCATCTTTTTTAAAATTCAAAACGCTGTTCAGACGTTAAATCATGTCTAATGACAACTTTAAGAAATTCATCATCCATAGTTCTGATCAAACCCACATTTTTAAAAATCAATGACTTAATAGCAGCATCACGAAACATCAACCATGCAGGTCTAATTGAGTTATCTTTTTTAGTCCCCAATTTTTTCAAAAAAAATGAGTTGGCATTAGCTTTGTTACCACACAACTTGTTGATAAAATTTAATATACAAACGTTATCATATTTGATAGTATCATTTTCCCTGAAATTAAAAATAACAATGTTGTTAGCGCGCTTTTTAAGCTCAGCATCATGATCAAGTTTTTTGGTAACTTGTTTAACTTTAATGCAAATCAACTTAATACTATTATTAATCTCATTTTTGAACAAGCTTGACCAGCTTTTTTCTATATCACTTTTTAGGGAAGTAAGTTCATCTTGAACCTTTGATCCTGAAAGAGCATGTAAGCTAACCTCAGTTAGTGAATTTTTAATAGACCCTATTTCATCCTCTAATTTGTCAAGACATTTAAAAAAGCGGTAAACAAGAATCACAAAAAATCATTATGCTATGACAGCCATTCATAAATATCAAAAAATCCTCTATGGTACCATGACAAGTGGCATGCAAAGTACAACCACAAGTCAAACATTGTGTGACAGCGGAATTGGTAATTGTTTTGCTACTCTCAGGAGGACACTTACAACACTTCGACATAACAAATGAATAAACAAACAAAAAACAAACTGACAAACCAGCAATCAACTGAGAAAACCAACAAACAATGAATGAACCAACAATGAATCAATGACAACAGAGCAATAACTGCAAATAACTAGAACGAGTAGTACAACACACGTTGTACAAGGATAATAAATCTCACAGCCAAAACTTTGAGCCAATGAGATACTAAGAGCCAATGAGATACTAAGAAACTAGAATTAGTTTGAGTATAAAATATTACAGCCAATGAGCTGTTTTAAAAATGGGACGAAATAAATATTATAATTACAGCCAGTAATTAAATACTCGGCAGGTGATGAACAAAAAAAAGAGTTTCAACAGAACCAAATATCCCAAAACCAACAAAAAAACTACAGAAACTTAAACATTAACGCTTTCCTGATGATCACAAACAAAAACTCTTCCAAAAAAAGCCAAAATTGCCAAAAACTTCTTTGCAAAATTCAGCAAAACAGACTGGAAAAAACAACGCGTCGAGAGCGCAAGAGCCAAAAAATTGTATCAATAAATGTATGTATATTATATATATATATATATTATATATTATATATATATATATATATATATATTTGCGTAATTGACTACTTGGGTATCGAAATCAAATTAAACAACGCAGTAATATATTAATATGCTCTTTATACACCCCCTGAATCGGATATTGAGTTGCTTATTCAAGTACTCAATATCATTTTTGTGAAACTTAAATCTAAATTAATTAAGATAAGCGATGGAACATGGAACCTTGTAGAAGAAAAAAATAAGTTTGAAAATGACAAAAAGACAGAGTGAAGAAAATAAGATGAAATTCAAAGAAGTCTGCCAAAAAAATAAAAAAGAGTGCTTTAGATAAAAGGAGATGGATTAATAGTAAATGTGAAAAGGTAGAAACGATGATTGGGCAAAATAAGAAAAAAGAGTCGTACCAGCTGGTTAAACAGTTAAAAAGAAAACAGAAAAATATGTCAAGGATTGTTAAAGATAAAAACGGAAACATCCCAACAGAAAGTAAAAAGATTAAAGATACGTGGACTGAATATATTAAAGACTTATTCACAGACAAGAACACATACAAAAAAATGCTTGGAATTTTGAAAAAAAGAAAAACAATCAATAAATAAGAAAGTGAAATAACGGGAGAAGAAATTACAAGAGCAATGAGTAAAATAAACAACAAAAGTACAGGAAAGGATGGTATTCCGATAGAACTGATAAGAGCAGGAGGACAAGTCGTGTGTAAAAAAATTCACACAATCTATCGAAAAATTTGGGGAAGTGGAAAGTGGCCAGCAGGATGGTGCAAGTCAGTTCTAGTTATGCTGCCGAAAAAGGATAACCAAAAAGATTTCAATAATTACAGATCAATTGCACTAATTTCGCACATATGCAAGGTCATGCTGACAGTCATAATAAACGACTAGAAAAAGTCTGCATGAGGAACAAGCAGGCTTCAGAAAAGACAGAAGCGCAATCCAATAAATTCTGATGTTGAGTCTGCTGATGGAAGATGCAAAAAGTAGCGCTCAGACAATTTACCATTGCTTTGTTGATTTTAAGAAAGCGTTTTATTCTGTTTAGCATGAAGGTTTGTTGGCAACATTAGAAAGTATGGGGACATCAGAAAAGCTGGTCAAAGTATTGAAAAAGCTTTGTAAAGACTCAAAAAAGTCGGTAATAATAGATACAGAACTTGGAAATTGAATTAAGGCAGACATTGGAAGCAGACAAGGCGATTCAATATCACCAATACTATTCATAGCATTGTTAGAAAGAGCAATGGAACAATTGGAAAATTAGGAATTGGGTGGAATTGACATAGAAAGAAGAACTGTCAAAGATATCTGGTTTGCAGATTGCAGATGATATAGATCTTCTAGCTTCTAATGAAGACAGTCTACAGAAACTAATTGAACTAACACATGTTAGTGGAAAAAATCCACGGGCTGCATATCAACAAAGACAAAACGAAGGTGATGATTACGGGGAAAGGCAGAAACAATGCGGAATTTCAGATAGTATCAGAAAAACTCGGACAAGTAGACCGGTTTGTGTATCTTGGCAGTCTCATAAAATGTGACAACAACTGCACCAAAGAAATTGACAGAAAGATAGCAATAGACCATGGAATGTTTGCATCATTGAAGAAAATATGGAAAAGTGGAAATATATCTATAAAAACTATGTTGAAAATGATAGAATCTTGCAATTTTCCGAACTTGAGACATGGACAATAAAAAAAAGAAACAAAGACAGATTGGAAGCATTTGAGATGAAGTGTAATCAAAATTTGTTGAGAATCAGTTGAGAGCAGAAAGTAAAAAACGAAACCATCAGAAATCAACTTAGAAGACAGAAAAGTGTATATAACAAAGTCAGAAAAAGAAAATTGGGATTTTTTGGACACATTAGTAGAATGAGAGAAGACAGATTGATTAATATGGTACTAATGAGGAAAAGAGATTGAAAAAAAAATTAGTGGACCTGCAAAGAAATGGATAGATGACATTACTGAATGGACTGGTGTTGGTATTCTGAATTCAATAAAACTGGCCAAAGATAGAAAAGGTTTTTTGAAAGAAAAAAGGAAAAAATAAACGTAAAAAGCATGCTTAGATGTACACCATCGGCCTCGACGGTTCCCTGATGGACAAAAGAGGATCATTGATTGAAAATAATAGAACGCAAAGTACAATGAAAAATTCGAAATTGGGTGGAATTGACATAGGAAGGAGAACTGTCAAAGATCTCAGGTTTGCAGACGATATAGATCATCTAGTTTCCAGTGAGGAAGCTAATTGAACTAACACATGTTGGTGGAAAAGATCACGGGTAGCATCTCCACAAAGACAAAACAAAGGTGATGATTAGGTGGAAAGACAGAAACAATGTGTAATTTCAGATAAAATCAGAAAAACTCGAACAAGTAGACCAGTTTGTGTATCTTGGCAGTCTTATAACCTGTGACAACAACTGCACACAAAAAATTGACAGAAAGATAGCAATAGCCTATGGAATGTCCGCATCATTGAAGGAAATATGGAAAAGTGGAAATATAATTATAAAAACAAAGTTGAGAATGATAAAATCTTGCGTTTTTCTGAACTTGTTCTATGACTTGGACAATAAAGAAAAAAAACAAAGAAAGATTGGAAGCATTTGAGATGAAGTGTTACCGAAATCTGTTGGGAATCAGTTGGAGGCAGAAAGTAAAGAACGAAACCATCAGAAATTAACTTGGAAAACAGAAAGATGTATATGACAAAGTCAGAGAAAAAAAATTGGGATTTTTCGGAAACATTTGTAGAACGAGGAAAGACAGATTAATTAAGATGGTACTTATGAAAAAAAGAGATTGGAAGAAAAAAGTTGGTAGACCAGCAAAGATATGGATAGATGGAATTACTGAATGAACTGGTGTTAGTATTTTAAACTTAATAAAAGTGGCCAAAGATAGAAAAGGTTTTTGTAAAGAAAAAAGTAATGTAAAAAACATGCTTAGATGTA